GATCGAATCACTAATAAGGCGCTGAAGTCCTTAAATTATCTCGTGGCAATAATCAATGCCATGCTAAGGACCCAGCACTTCCCAACGGCGTGGAAGACCGCTGATGTCATAATGATTCCAAAGAGGGTGGGTTCGATATTCCCCCAAGATTACCGCCCCAATAGTCTACTGTCAGCTCCTTCTAAGCTCGCTAAAAAGGTGACCTTGACAATTTCTCGTCAGACTACAATGTGATTCCTGGCGTCCAATTTGGCTTTCGGTCTGAGCATAGTACGGAGCTACAGACCATAAGGCTTGTTGAACGAGTAACCAGGGGTTTCACCCAGTACTGGCATCTTGCTTTTGGATGTCTCAAAGGCATCTGACAAGGTGTGGCACAAGGGCCTTCTCTTCAAATTGATCCATAAGGGCTCTTCCCCTTCTGGGTCCAAAAACTTTTGAAATCCTTCCTCGAAGATAGGAAATCTCGGATCAAAATTAATAACGTTCTATCGAAAACACGGCCCATCAAAGCCTGTGTCCCTCAGGGTTCGGTTCTTGGACCAGTCCTTTATTCACTTTTTATTCACATCTCTATGCTGATGACACTGCCTTGGTGGCCCAGTCGTGTTCTGGGGATCTGGATCACGACAGGCTGCAAAGTGCAGTGGACGAGGTATTGGAATGGGCGAATCGGTGGCTGATCAAAATTAATCATTCGAAAACGCAGGCAATCTATTGTACTAAAAAACGTAGCGGCGCCCCGTCTGAGGTTTCAGTGAATGGAGCTCGGGTACTATGAGAAAGCTCTGCTAAGTATCTCGGTGTCACTCTTGACAAGGGGATGACCTGACAGAAGGATACTGAAGCGTTAAAAACTAAATTCCAAATCTCGTTTCGGCAACTCTACCCTATGCTATGTAGAACATCAAAATTAAGTTTGAAAAACAAAGTTCGGCTATACAAGATCACTCACGCAAGTACGGGTTGGTGTTTTCTCGCCAAAACGCATTTGCGTAGCCTGCAGGTTTTGCAGAACAAAACCTTGCGTACAATCACTAACGCCCCGTGGTATGTTTCCTTCACAGAGATATTGACATCCCTTACCTGAGGGACTACATCAAACAAGTGCAGCTACGTTATAGTCAAGAGGAATCGTATAGCAACTCATTGTTGCGCGAGTCAGTAGACTACACAGTCAAGCAAGTTCGCAAGCACACAAGGCCGCGACTCGCACTGCCAACCAAATTAAATAATAATAATAATAATAATAATAATTTTTATTGGAATGTTTATACATAAAAATATAAAAACGACAACATTCCAAAAGGAAAGAGGATTGGCAGGGCCATTTTTCACCTCCCCCTAAAAAGTTAACTTCATGAGCGTTTTTTAACATCAACAGAATGATTAGTATTCACAACAAATATTATGCTCAACACAGTATATAATATGATATAGTCTGAGTGTTAATGGAGGATAGTGTAGCAAGCGTCATAAATTTAATTTGTGGATTCAAATCTTTGCAGCTGTAGTAGCACTTTTTCCATCTCATTTCTGAAGTTTTGGATGGAAGCTGCTTCAAAAAGTTCTAAATGATCGTTTAGTAGATATGGTGCCGTGTAAGTAAAACATTTTTTGAATTTAGATGTTGTATGAACTGGAATATTGAAGTATTCATTGTTGCGTAAGGAAAAAATCGTGCGACTTTAGGTACAACCAAAATTAGAATTGTTCTTCAACAACCAATCTAAGGGATTATGTAAAACAACTGGCGCAGCGGCGTTATAATCAAGCGGAATCGCACAGCAACCCTCTGTTGCGCGATTCAGTAGACTACACAGTCGAGCCAGTTCGCAAACATTCCAGGCCGCGCCTCGGACTGTGATCAAAATTAAAATGTAAATTCAGACCACCCAAAATTATTTCAGTATACAAAACCGATCAAAATTATTTTTTAGAGTTACAAAATAATTCGTGTAGTCAAAGCAATAATGATTAAGCTATTTCAAATGATTTAGTTCTTTCTTTGCTCTATTTCTTCCTTCCTTTCATTCCTTCTTTCTCTTTTCCCCTTAAACATGTTTGGTATCTGGGTAGCGAAACCTGACAGACTAACAGACCGACGAGACATTTAAATAAGAGCAAAGGTCCACCGGACCGCTCTGACGAATAATGACGAATAGTAGTAGTCATCTTGCAGACTTGGTAGCCTTTAGTGTGCAAATAGTTCATTTCACGTTTCCTGGCTATGATCGCTTTTCGCTGTCGTTTAAGCAAGACGTAGAGCTACAAAACGAGTGCACAACAAGTTTACGATAGCTTGTGTTGAGTTAACATCTTATAGAAAAACCTACGTTAAGTCACAAAAAACTTACGAATTATCTTAGCACATCAGCGGAATCTCCCGAGAGCCCGCATTGCACACCAGCAGAGGGTCAAGGTAATATTAAAGACCTTAGAGTGCGTAAAGCACCTGGGGAGAATCAAATCACTAATAAGGCACTGAAGCTGCTTTCGGGGAAGTCCTCAACTTATCTCGTGGCAATAGTCAATGCCACGCAGAGGACCCAGTACTTAACATCCGCGTAGAGGACCGCTGAAGTTATAATAATTCCAAAAAAGGTGGGTTCGATATTTCCCCAGGATTATCGTCCCATTAGCCTGCTGTCAGCTCCGTCTAAGCCAGCTGAAAAGGTGATTCTACGTCATAGAGACCTCGATCTGATAAATTAAGCAATAGGCGCAGCTGCGCGATAGTCTAGCGCAATCGCACAGCAACCCTCTGTTGCGCGAGTCAGTAGACTACACAGTCAAGCAAGTTCGCAAGCACAAAAGGCCGCGGCTCGCACTGTAATCAAAATTAATTCGTGAACTTAGAACAACCAAAATTGGAGCATTTTGACAAAATCTTTATAAAAAATCAAATATTTTTAGATCATATTAAAATCTGTGAAGTTATTTTAAGAATGCCTACACGCTGCCTATCCTAAAAGATTATCTTCTTTTTCTTTGCTCTCGTCCCAAAATTAATTTTAGAATCAATTTAAGATTGCTGAATACTAATTAACAATGCCAAGGCACCCCTCAAATTGACGCACTTCTTTTTTCTTTGCTCTCCCTCCTTCCTTCCTTCCTTTGTTCTTCCCTTCTTTCTCCCTGACTTTGTTTGATATCTGGGCAACCAGACCTGACAGACCTACTGACTTACAAGACTTTAACCAAGAGCAAATGTCCTACGAACCGCTCTGACAGACAATGACGAATAGAAAAGAAGTAACGTCATTGACGTTGATTTGTGCATTGAGCATTAAGAGTGGTATTAAACTCCAGTTCGAATATCAAAACAGTTTTCACAAGACAAAAGCATTGCACAGGCCCTTTTTTATGATGTTTTGATATCCCATTGATCATTTTTACACCTCTTCTATTTCAGTAAGTAACAATATAAGAAGTTTTTCAACAACTAACTACCAAAGGTAGATAGGTACTTTGTTTTTGAAATATCTATGTTTGAACACGAGTATATGAATGATTTTACGCAATGTTTCCCTATTGCTGACACTGCCGATAGAGTCAGATACGAGCCAAAACTCTGTCTGGCAGACAGCTGGATCAATACTTCATTCAACTACCGCTAATAAATTATATCAAACCAGCTATTTGCACTTGTAATCACAATATCGGTCGATTATTTTGAGCTATGTCCGCTATAATTCTCGTTCGTTTTCGGGAGTTTTTGGATCATAGTTGTTATTGATAGATGCCATGTTTTCGGCTGCTCCGAAAACGACCACATGCATCCTGATTCAGATTTATAACGTGTTTTGTTACAAAAGTTACAGACGCTTGACTTCCTTGATTGAAAAAGGATTGCAGAACACTCCAAACGTTAATGTACTCGTATGTACAAAGCAGTGGCGGATTTAGAGGTAACAAGCTGGGTCACACAGTGTACAGGAAACCAACGCACCTTTGTCCAATCATCACCCGAGTCAGAAGTATGGAGGCATCAGAACCCTGACAGAACGAGCTCGAACGATCTGCGAACCGGAGAACCTCCAGATAGAACTTGAACACCTGAAAACTGCGTACTAACAATCGGCTCGAGACAGCATCCCACCACCTCTGTCTGCGGTAGCTGAACATGCACTAAGCAATGGGTACCACAAGATACACTTTGGGAGCTGCAGCCCAACTAACAATTATCACTCATATTAGAGTTGCAAGAATGATTATACAGTATTCCTTCAACAGCATTGAATACTGTAAGAACATTGGCAAAACCCTCTTAGAACAGCTATACAAGCAGAATGGGCACACCTAATAGGTCACTTCAGTCATTTAAGAGGTTGTATAAGGGCTGCAGGTAACAGTTATAAAACAAAAGTGTAACCCTCTTGCAGCCGCTATAGGACATTTGCGTCAGTGCAAGATTCAGTTTTTGTCAACTATACAACTATTCTGTTACGTGATTCTACTTACTAACACATTACAGTCATCTTGTTTACTTACGTATCGGCCATTGTGAATTTCATACACAGGTATATGATAACTTCTACACTGTGATAGGACCTCTGAAGAAACTTGCCACTCATGCTAGCGAAGCGGTAGGAAGAAATTCCAACCGACGACGGCCTTTAGGTCCGAATCAAGACAGCAGTTTGCCACGTAATTCTTTTGTTCTCATATAATAAAATATAAGTTGGCATTGAACAGATAGAACACAATGGATTTAAGGAGCAATGATAGGTAGAAAAATTACCAGCCCCAAAGATCGTTTGCGCCCCCCCTTAGACGAATTCCTGGATCCACCCTTGGTACAAAGTTAATGAATGAAACCACATAGTTCATTTCAGATGTCGTATGCAAATCTAAGATCAAATTTCATAACAAGTCTCAGATCGTATCATGCAACCATGTAAATATCATTTCAAAACATGTAATTTCATTTGCTCATTATACAGGCTGTGGAAAAGGCAGCTGGTTGTTAGGCTGACAAAATATCACTGAAATATAAAATGTCGTACACAAACCCCGATATCCTTTACGGACCTGTATCTTCGAAGGAGAAGGGACCGCTACCTGCTCTCAAACTACCTAATACGTTAGACCCTAAATATGTAAATTCTATCAGCTCATCCATTTAGATGTAAGTCCCTTCCAGCACCGTAATCTCATTCGGAATTCTTCATAAATCCCGAGAAGTTTCCGGTCGAACAGCTCTCCATCACTTGGCTCTAGTCTAGACATAATATTCAATAAGTAGTAGAGCAAACTGAAACTCTAGTGCCGTTTTTTGGCACAGTTTCAAACTCTCTCGGCTCTCGTCTGACAACTTACTGCTTTCGCCTGGGATGTCGAGAATTCGTGGTCAGACGGAGATGGGAAAAATATTCTTTGCTTGATTTTTGTATTCGCTGGGTGCGCCACCTAGTGGATGTCAGACAGAAATGTACTAAATGACAGAAAATGCGAAACCCTTGTAGTGTAAAGTCTCTAAATTTCTCTCTATTTCATAATTTATTGATTGTAGAATTTCACACGTATTATATCTGCCATTCTCAGCGACTCAGTATTGTATTGAAATCTTTCTTCTATCTAAGAAATTTCCTCATAAATATTGTTGGTCCCTCGTAGACATTTGTTTCTACCTACAATCTGCCCATCTGCAACCTGCGCGCCATCTTATGATGTTTATACGTACTAGCCATATATGAATGTTCAGCTTCCTATCAAGATACCTTCTTTACCGGCTTTTATCTGTTCCTTTTGACGTTCTATCGAACGTGCCTTTTTCAGGGCCACTTATTCAACCTTCTTTTAGGGGGTTGCATGCGCAGACGGTCCAGTGCCATTTTACTTTCCGCTGTGATTTTGGTTGTGTGCGGGCGTTTTTTTTTTTCGTTAACTTCCAGATTTTTAGATATTAACGCCCCAAGCACCAGCTTATGGAGTAGTACCCTTTTATTTTGTACCTTTCGTTTACTTGTGTTGGTGGGTACTACCCCGTCCATTTTGTAATAGGATAATAACCCAGAGATGTTGATTCTAACGATTTTCTAGTAGATCTTACGATTTTTAGGAGTGGGGATAAAAATATTTGCAAGGAAATCTGAGGAGACTCAAGGATCTCCAAAAAGATCCAAATAAGACAATGCCGAGGAGATCTATCTTCTCGAAAACTGTCACTCGTTACCACTGACTGCTACGTATACTGTATATAAAACTAGTATTCTAAGGTAGTTTGGAATTATACTAAGTGACATATAAATCCGAACACCCAGTTTAAATGGTTTCATTTTAATAAAAGTTGGTGAATGTATTTATCTTACTGTAAATAACAAGTGAACAAATTCTCAGCCTTATCAGTTGGACATTCCGGTTTTTATACTGCTTTTTTTTAATTCACTAACGCTCTAAAAATGAATATTTCAGCCGCAGTAAAGAATCAACGTTGGCGGATTTTGGTTCTTGACATCCTTCACGATCGGTTACGATGCCTAGAGTACGGAGACCTGTACGATTTCGTCAACTTAGTGAGTTTGATAGGGGCCGTATAGTGGGACTTCGGGAAGCTGGACTTTCTTTTCGGGCAATTGCAGTTAGAGTGCAAAGAAGTGTAGACACTGTGGTTAGGTGTTGTCAGGCGCACGGCTTCGAGCAAGGGGCACTGGACGCTGCCGTAGAACAACAGACCGTGAAGATCGCGGCCTAAGATTAATGGCCTTAAGGGACCGTTTCTCCACTACCAGGTCCATTACAAATGAATGGTTTGCAGAACACGGAAGACCTATTGGCATGCGAAGTGTTTACCGACGAATGAGAAGTTTTGGCTTGTTTTCACACCGGCCACACTGCGTCCTCCCTTTAACTCGAGAACACCGACGTAATCGCCTTGAGTGGTGCAGACAACGGTCACTCTTGGATCAGGAATGAAACAGTATTGTCTTTAGTGACGAGTCTCGATTTTGTTTAGGCATGCACGATGGTCGTGCCAGGGTTAGAAGGCGACGTGGTGAAAGGAGGAATCCACAGTTTTTTGTTGAAAGACATGTTCATTACACTGTTGGAGTTATGGTTTGGGGTGCTATAGCTTATGGTTCTATGTCACCTTTAATCTTCATCAGAGGTAACATGAACGCGCAGCGTTATATCCACGAAGCTCTAGAACCCCATCTTTTACCCTATCTTGACACCCTGGCAGATCCAACTTTCCAACAAGATAATGCCCGACCACATGTTGCAAGAGTCACAATAGACTTCTTTCAACATAATGATGTCACATTGTTACCATGGCCACCAAGATCTCCCGACTTATCCCCAATTGAGCACGTGTGGGATATGATGGGTAGGAGATTGCTCAATTTGCAACGTCCTCCTCAGAGTCTAGAAGCACTTCGAGAGGAGTTGGTGGTTACCTGGAATGAGATACCACAGGAGGACATTGACCACCTGATCAGAAGCATGCCTAGGCGCGTTGGAGAATGCGTAGCACATCAGGGTGCATCCACACATTATTAAAGGTCAAAGGGCTTTAAAGCAGTGCAATCATTTTGAAATCTTTATCATTTACTTATTATGCTTCATTAAGTACCTATACAAAATTTTATTAAAATAAAACCATTTAAACTGGGTGTTCGGATTTATGTCACTTAGTATATGAAGGATAATGTCACGTGTTACTCAAATGTTGAAGAGATAAATTCTGTGGCAGACAGTATGATGCGACATTTCAATTGGTAAGATTCAAGATAATCCGTTTGCCGTAAAGTTTTCTATTTCCATCTCTAGCCATAACAAGTGCTGTTGGCAGTAGACGAAATTATTTTAATTGCTGTGTTCCGACACATCAGGGCATCGTGGGCCGATTCTGCCGCCGAGCCCTCACCGCCCAGCGCGAGGCGCGATTCAATGCGACGTTAATTGCGTTTAGAATTCCGAAAGTACCGCCGGAGGTGCTAATGGCGGCGGAGAGCGTGTTTTATTTAAATCCGATTGTGGAGAGGCCTCTGCACATGCCAGAAAAATTCTGAAGGACTTTCGGATGCAGTCGTTTGTTACACGCATCATGTTGAAATAACGAACTTTTAAGCTTTAAGCTCTCTCCATTGTCCTCCAGTAGAGATACGGGAAATTAAAATGAGTTTTGGTATCAGAACCAACAGCACAAGATGAGTTGGATGAGAAATGCTAAGGCAACTTTTCGAAATCATTGTTTGAGGTTTAAGGTTTGCGATTCTTAGGATGTTTATATCGCTGCCACTGAAGTATTTGCAAGTATAGACTTTGTATCTACTTGGTAAAAATATTTCTAACTGCTGCCTAATAGAATTTATTCAAAATTGATTGGACTCATGTCGTCGCCCAAAACATGTAAGCTATCACTGTTTTATTTTAATTTAAAAATAAAAAGTGCATATGACCCGTGGTCCAAAAGTCAATAGATTTTTGTCTAAATGGCTTTATAGTTTACAACTTTAAATGCTTTATATAGACGACAATCACCACAATCTTACTAATTTTTATAATCTAATCTAAAACGTTTTTAAATTGGGTAATTAACAAATAAATGGCATCAAGTTTTTCTAAGTTAAGCCAAAATCTCCTTTACCATTTTTCTGGTAAAATTAAAGTAACAAAGTTATAGCCCTTTGGAAGTTTGAGTACCGCCCTGTCTCAATGATAATATTATGTGCTCGTGTTTGGCAACAACGGATATAATCCGCCTTATCGGTTCATCGCATCGGAAACAAAAAAGCGAAAGAATTTGGAACGATGTTTTTACAATTATTTTATTCAGTTGTGTTGTATACAGTCAGTGTCAGTCGGTAACGCGTCAGTGAATAGTGGTGTCTGTTGCGTGGCTCAAACGAAATAAAAAATGGCCCATGTTTGCGGATCGGTTTCCCGATCGAGTGCAACCAACCCCTCGTGCCTTTGTTAATGTAGTACAACGGGCTCGTGAATCAGGTGACTTAAGACGGCATGCCGGTGCTCCAAGACCTCGCGATCAAATACAGGTCCACACTGAAATACTTGTCGGGAGGATACTTTATAAAACAAGGTAATTTTTTTTTTTTTTTTTATTTTTACACACATATTTTGGTTTATCTTCCTTCTACAATCATTATCTGAAAATTAATGACTCAACTTCAAAGTCACCCTGTATATAAGTAACACCCTGTATAAACAAAGCATACTTTCTGATTTAATTCAGACGAATAATATCAACTTTAATTTGAGATACTATCATTCTTGCTAATAACAGGTTTTCCAGCGACCGGCAATACCTCGATCCTGCCCTGAAATATGTTGCACAGCTGTGCGACCCTTCAAGCTAAATCACTGTTTACTAGTTTACTTGGAAATTCCGCTGATGCCTTCACTTCTAATGTAATGCGGACGACAAGTTTGTGGCTGCTGCCGAGAAGCTTTAGCTGTTTACTCTGCAGCTTTGGGATGGAAAGGGAGATGCTTATCATGAGAACGGTCATTCGGAGACTAGGGAATTTGACTGGAGTGTTTGGAACGATTCAAGAAACGGGAATCCATTTTTGACAAATTTCAACTCTGATTTTAATCTAGAATTCTGTAGTTTAAACCGGTGATGAGCGTACTCGTATTGTATGCTTCATGTAAAATACATCATTGTATACATCTTGATATTCATTTGCACAATTTAAATAATATACCGCTTGTCCAGATTCGTGTCTTTATACAGGGATTTCGGCTCCTGTTATACCTGCAGCAAAGGTTAAACGTAAAAGTTTTAGAGGAAACTCAGTGCATTCGATAGTCGGTTTCAGATTTACGATCGGTTAAGAGAGACGTCTGCAGACCACATTTGGGACTAACGTTTGGTGAGGGATCAATGGTAATTTAATCTAACTTCCTTTTTTAATTGGGCACCTATTTGAAGTAAGGTATTAATCATTTCAGGAAATCGGCTTACAGAACCGTTTTTCCTTGACTGCAATCTAATATGGTGGTTATAGGTCGAGTTATTATCAGGCCACATCTGGGGTGCCTCAAGGATCGAATCTCGGCCCATTATTGTTCCTGATCTTTATTAACGATTTGTCTCTTGAGCTCAAGTGTTTGCAT